AGTTCAGAAAGTATTACAACAGACAGCAGATACGACAAAAGTGAGTCTCGCAACAATTGCAAGTATTAAAATTGCCCTCTGATTGGTTAATACTACTTCAGAAACGCATTTGTAAAATGCTAGTGGGAACATATCCTAAAATTCAATAGTAATTAATCACCAGTAGCATTTTGTAGATGATTCACGCATAAAACGTCAAATTGTCGAAGCAATGTCAAAAAAAAGCGAATTTCGCGGTTATGAGTACTAGGCTTTATCAATCTGACAATTAGGCAATCCAACGACCTGTCCAAATGGCGTCTGGTTGGCAAACAATAAACAAAAAACATATGTTTTTATTTTGACGGGATCAAGCCTAGTACTCATAACCGCGAAATTCGTTTTTTTTTTTGACGTTTGATTCACACATAAAACGTCAAATTGTCGAAGCAATGTCAAAAAACAACGAATTTCGCTGTTATGAGTACTAGGCTTTATCAATACTGACATCGTTGACATGTAACAACCCGTATTCTAACCTCATAAAAATTTCAAAATGCCGGCTGGTTGGCAAAAGTCACGTGGTTTGGATTCCCTAATTTATATAGGCTGATCAGCTGCCTATCAAGTTACTACTCACGTCACGTATTTCTAGTTCGGGTTCTAGTTACGACGAGAGTTTCAGGTTCAGTTTGTTGTTTTTATTAATTTATTTTCAATTGAAATTGAAACTGAATTGTTTTTGTACTACAGCACAGTTTATTTCACATTAAAAATGAACAATTATCTACCTAGAGGTGTCATGACGCGTACCATGGCAATAATGAATAATAAATTTCATTAAACTAAACACCTTTTCAAAGTTCCTGTTCCAACGACCAACTTTCAACAAAATAAAAATAAAGAAACAATCTCAATTTAGAAATTATTAAACGTCAAAATTCAAAAAATGCGTACTTCGCGCCAACTTAGGTCAGCTAAGTTATCTCAGTTAAAAATCCGGGTGTCTTAGCAGGGGAAAGGGGGGAAGGCAGATTCTAACTTAGTTGTGATAGATCGTACGCGCAACTAAGTTAGATTCTTTCAGTTAGGTAAGAAAAGTGCTTGATCGTAAGCAGCTATTATTCGCTTGTTTTAAGGGCAATAAAATGGCTTATAGCTCACTAGTACTGAGATAAGGAAGCTTTATCTCACTCATGTGATTGAAAGGCTAAGGGTCAATGGGCTAAATGTATAGTACTGGGTTTTCAGTTACCTATAACAAGTTTGAATAGCATCGTTGGGTTCCCTTGTAAAAGTTGTACTTGTAAGGCAACCTCAAATTTAATTTGATGTATAATCCAGGTTGTTATTTAATTTCCCTTCATCCATCAATAATTTTATAATTATAATTATTAATTTATGATTTTGCTATTATTTGGTATGTTTATTTGGTTTAGGATAGTGTTGGACAGAATTTTGTATTAGACTGGTGAGTAAAGTGAGTTCCTACCATATAATTTACTTAAGAAAATCATGCAACCACATCGCTCTTCGGGGTCACTGGTTAATTTCTTGCGTGACTTATATGGTACTATATGGTACCTACTTTACTCTCTAGTCTAATAAATAACCATTATATAAACTGCTGGACAAATGAAGCGGAACAAGCGAATTTTTAGCATGAACTTCAAATTCCAATATTGCGCGAACTTAAAACGATATCAATGAGCGGTTTGCGAAATTTAACTTTGCAATCACGCAAGCCACCCATTTATATCTTCTTGAGTTCGTTTTATAGTGGAATCCAAAGTTAAACTAAAAATTCGCTTGTTTCTCCAGTAGTTTAGTTTTTGCTAATGTTCTGGAAGCAAGTTCTCTGAAATTAAAATGTAATATGAAACCTCTTCAACAGCAAATATGTCGACTTCAAAACAAAAAAAGTACCCCAGGTGGGTAGAGGTACCTCACAATCCCACACCGATACCTCGGTCAGCCTCGTAAATTCTGGGGGAGGCACAAGAACGACATCCATAAAGAAAAAACAAAATAAAAATGGACCTAGCAAAACTATAACAAATTGCTTATTAAACATTGCAACTACAACACAAGATCAATCGTAACTAAGGAAGGTCTGGTTGAATTAGAGTACGAATTGGAGAAAATAAACTGGGACATTGTAGGACTAGCCGAAACAAGGAGAAAGGGAGAACAATATCTCCATCTGGATTCCGGGCAGACTATGCTCTACAGGGGGAAGGATGATGATAACAATGAAGGAGTTGGAATATTAATAAATAAAAAACTATCGACAAACTTGAAAAAAAAAAAATTATATGTCGTAATCAATATAAATAAAAATATAACGCTAAAATATATACAAGCTTATTTTCCAACTTGCTCACATGAAGATGACGAGGTGGAAACGGTATACGAAGACATAGCGAGAGCAATAAGAGAGAACCCAACGACGCACACTATTCTAGGAGGAGACTTTAATGCAAAAATAGGCAGAGGAGCAGAACCTACGGAAACACACATATAGGACAGTTCGGACTCGGCACCAGAAATGAAAGGGGAAAAATGTTAGCAAACTTCCTAGAAAGAGAAAGACTCTATCTGATGAACACTTTCTTCCAAAAGAAAGAGAAACGTAAATGGACAAGGAATAGCCCAGACAAACCAAAAATCAGATTGACTTTATAATCTCTCGCCATAAACACATAATCCAAGACGTAGATGTGGTCAATGAATTCAACACCGGCAGTGATCACAGAATGGTAAGATGCAAACTGCTCATAAAAACAAAAATGGAAAGAAAAAGAAAGATGAAACAAATGACGAAGAGAAGAAGTAGAGAAAAGATAGCAGAAAGAAGGGAAACATACAAACAAATGCTGGAAGAAAACTTTTCCAACAATCCAGGAAAAACAGAAGAGTCATTAGATGATAACAATAGGAGAATAACAAAAATTATAACAGAAATAGCAGAACAGATAATAGGCCCCCTAGAAAAAACGCCGGACAAACTGTCCATAGAAACGAAACAGCTACTAGAGAAAAGGAGAAAACTGATAACCTAGGGTAACAAATCAGCAAGAAAAATGGCGAAACAGGATATACTAAAACATCCAACTAAACAAGTGCAATCCCTATTAGAACAGAACAAAGGACTAAATATATTTAAAAGACATAACACACCTAAGAACGAGATATCAAAAATAAAAGATGCGAAAAACAACATAGTAGAAGACAGACCACAGATATTAAAAGTTGTGGAATCTTTCTATAGAGATCTGTACGAATCTTAAATAGTAAACACAAGGACAAGAGAAGACAAAATACGAATAGTAAAGGCAAACTCAGAAAAAATGCCCGACATAAATATGGAAGAACTGGAGAAAGGGTTATCCCAGATGGAAAATGGTAAAGCGGCAGGAGAAGACAACATTCTGCCTGAAATGCTCAAGGAAAGCGATACTAAGACGAGACAAGAACTAGTGAAACTATTCAATAAGTGCCTAACAGAAGAACATACACTCAAAGATTGGGAGAATGCTGTAGTTGTTCTGATCTACAAGAAAGGTGACCCGACTGATATCGAAAACTACCGGCCGATAAGCTTACTATCACAAATATATAAATTATTCCCCAGAATAATCACCAACAGATTAGAGCGAAAACTCGAAGTTTACCAACCAAAGGAACAGGCTGGATTCCAAAGCACGACAGAACATCTACACACAGTAAGGCAGATAATCGAGAAAACTACAGAATATAATATAAACCTGGGCAATAATAAAATCCTTGAGAAATGCCAGAGTGGATCAACGTTATATAAACAGAATAAATAAATAAAAAGCTACAATGTTTAAACAAAGGATTGAACATACATGCTGAACGCCTGCACAATCTAAGATTTGTCGACGATATTGTACTATTCGCAAAAGACAAACAGGAATTGATAGATATGTTGGAAGAACTACAGGATGAGGCGGGAAAGGTAGGATTACACATGAACTACACAAAGACCCAGTTTATTACAAATACAGCAGATGCAGACGGAACAATACCGATCCATGACAGCACAATAAAAAGACAGAAACATACATATACCTTGGCCAAGCTATAGTCAACCATCCAAGGACCTTTTTTTTCAGTTATACATGTAAACCCCATACTTTGTGAGTGGCTTGCTTATATCAAGTCCTACAACTTTTCCTCTACGAATTTTCTCGGAAATGGCACGTATGCGCGCAGGCGACTCGCAAACATTTTAGGGGTAGGTATCGGACTCCCCCAATTTGCCATTATTTTTGTCGGCCAAGTTGATTTCCGTGATTTAGACATAAAAATCAACGGAAATCAACTTGGCCGACAAAAATAATGGCAAATTGGGGGAGTCCGATACCTACCCCTAAATGTTTGCGAGTCGCCTGCGCGCATACGTGCCATTTCCGAGAAAATTCGTAGAGGAAAAGTTGTAGGACTTGATGTAAGCAAGCCACTCACAAAGTATGGGGTTTACATGTATAACTGAAAAAAAAGGTCCTTGGATGGTTGACTACTATAACACCGGACAAACAAAATCAAGAAATGGAAATTGATAGGAGAATTAGACTGGGATGAGCGGCTTACGGCAAATTGAAGTACATCTTCAGCCTGAATATTCCAATGACTTTGAAATCAAAAGTCTATAACGAGTGTATACTGCCTGCTGTCACGTATGGTTGCGAGACCTGGGTGATAACCAGAAAAATTAAACACAAATTAGAAGTACGTCAGAGAGCCATTGAAAGACGAATTTTAGGAATTTCCCTGAGAGACCACAAAACAAATACATGGATAAGGAAAGGACATAAAGTCTCCGACATAATAAAAAGAATTGGCAATGGACAGGACACGTGGCCAGACATACAGAAAACTGGAGCGCGTATATCACTAGATGGAGACCTTGGGAAGAGAGGAGAAGTGTTGGAAGACCCCAACAAAGATGATACGACGAGATAAAGAAGATTGCAGGCTTAAATTGGTACCAGCTTAGCTGACACTCAACGCGTTACCAGCAGCACCACTCCTCCTTCGGAGTCGTGGTGTTGCTGCGTAACGCGTTTCGTGACAGGTAAAAGTATTATTCGGTAATCCTGAAACCTCTTATGGTATTAAATTCGATAATATAATGTAAAATTGTCAATGCTTTCAAATTTTTTATGTAGAAAAGGCTTGTGTTGCCAACATAGTTACTAAATTTTTGACTTCGGGAATTATCTTTGATAGAATTTGATTAATAGCTGACAGCAATGTATTTCAAATGGGAAAACTCAAGTACCAATCGGGTTTAGTTGAACTTTGTTTTGAACCGAGATTGTATTTACAACTAGGCCGAAGTCGCATACCTCAAGGTATATCTTTGATACTTCTATGGGATAGTTCGATGTTTGCTGGGTAGTAAAATATTTTTATTTCAGATCCAAGGTTTTCTTAGACTTGTGGTGGCAAATTCGCGAAAAGGTGGTTGGTGGTTAACAATTTTAATTTCGAATGATCTTTCTTTAACATACAGCTCTGTCATAAAAGGGATCCAACAGCATCGTATTTTTAATACGTGAGTTAGAATAATACCCATTATTATTAATAATGGTATTCTTCTTGTTATGTTGCAGGAAGAGGTGAAACAGAGCAAGGATGAATCCGACCTCCCTTTAGATAAGAAGAGCATAAGACTCCATGATGGCAACAACGCCAACGACCACGTTCGGTAGTTAGCTCCAAGAGCATAATTTATTCATAACTTGCACTAATTTTTTCATTTTACATTTGTTGTTCAATATTATCGATTAAATTATTGCACAAATAATGTAAGAACATAAATAACTCTGAGGTCTGCTCATTTACTCTTGAAATAAACTGACTTGACACATCGTAAATTATCGCGGAAGCCTTTTTATAAATTTTCCGAAAATTAATGAAACAAGTAGGGATCACAGGTAGCCATTAAGTTATGAAAGCAAACATTGCAGTCGCTCGAAGATAAATGTTGTATGTCCATTTCTATAACTATTTGCTTATTGCTCCAGCCCCATAATTTTCCATGGCATCCAACTTATGTATGTTGATTGATTGAAGGTATAAATAAAAGATCTTACAATTGTACAATTGAAAAAAAACCGATTAAAGAACAAAAGATGTTTATTTTTTAGCCTGTTACAGCCAACATGGATAAAAAAAAACAACAAATTTAATAATCAGTAGTTCAATCAGATCCCTGAGAAAGATGAGACACATAACAAAAAATTAAACCAAAATAAATATTCATTGACAACTGGTTCAGCCTCATCTTTTCCTACATCCTACTTATGGGCTGCAGTGGGAATTATCTGGGGAGCAAGTGTTGATAACAGGATTGAAATATTCTTCCTGTGGACATTCACCAGGGTGGGCTCTTCCGAAGCTGCAAATCACGAACTTGTTACATTGATCTGGGTGTGCCGCAATAAAGAACCTGTAGAAAAAAAATCTATAAATGGGTCCCAAATTTGATTTCTAGTCGTTTTTATTTGTAGGCTCTCCAGAAAATATCTAAAACTCCTTCTTGAGAAGGCATACTAGTAGGTATATAAAGAATCGATAAAAAATTACCTGTCTGTGTGAATTTGGCAAAGTTCTTCAGGACTCGGCTTCTTCTGTTCTTCTGAACCGTATTCATCGGGATTTGAACCAGCTTCAGATTCTTCTTGTCCGTCTTCTTCAGGTTTGGGAGGTGCAATCGTACTTGTATCCTCCGATTCAGCGGGATTTAAATCCAATCTAGAAGCTTCTTGTTCTTCTTCAGGTTTTTGAGGTACACTTGAACTTGAACCCTCGGACTCGCCAGGATCTGAACCTGATTCCGAATCTTCTTGTCCTTCTTCTTCAGGTCTTGGAGGTACACTTAAACTTCTACCCTCCGACTCGCCGGGATCTGAACCTGATTCCGAATCTTTTTGTCCTTCTTCTTCAGGTCTTGAAGGTACACTTGGACTTGAACTTTCCGATCCAGCGGGATTTAATCTTGATCCTGGAACTTCTTGTCCACCTTCTTCTTCTTCAGTTGCACTCGAACCTGAACCTTCGAGTTCATCAGTAGTTGAATCTCTTTGCTTGCCTTCTTCAGGTTTTGGTGGAACCTTAAAAATATGAACAATATTATTTATTCATCAAAAATAGAGTATTTTCCGCTTTTGTTAAAGTCATTAGCTTTTATATTATTTGATTATATGCTCACTTGTTCCGTTGTAGGTTCTTCTTGATCAGTTGCCACTTTTTCTGAAACTTCCGTTGTGACATCGGCGAGTTCTAGATCGAATTAATAGTGATTCTTTACAGATTTTTTTCTAACCAATTTCATCAAGAATCTTATAGGAAAATATTAGTACCTACCTGATGATGGTTCTTCGAAGAGTTCAGTTGTTGGAGATTTAGATGATGAAGTTTCATTTGTAGATTCTTCTGATAGTTCAGTTGTAAAATCAGAAAGAGTTGTAGGTTTTTGTGGGAGCGTTGATGGCTTTTCTGAAAGTTTGGTTGTGGAAGGTATTTCAATTTCCGGTTCAGGCTTCGCCTCTGGCTTTGGTACAGGTCTTTCTTTGGCATATCCCTTAGGTTTTTCTTCAGGCCCATGTTCCTTCACAGCAGAACAATCAGATTTCCAAGGATGTACACAAACTCCATTAGATGCACTAAATGCAGTTCCTGGAGCACAAGGTCTGTCCATGGGGCTTCCGTGGACACATTGCAAATACTGTGTGCAATCAGTTGGATGCGGGTGAAGTTTAACTTGATTTTTGGGTTTACTACAGTCGATGTTAAAAGCCGAACGGAATGACGGTGGAGCTGAAAATTAAATTATTTTCAATAACTTGAGACATGTTTATTGTTCAGTATAAGATTTTTACGCTATATTTAGATGACGTCACATTTAGTAAATTTGGTAGGGAAGTTTCTGAAGTTTTTTGTTGGCAACGGCGCGCGACGTTGCATGACTTGTATAAACATTTTCATTTCGTTAATTTTAGCTGTGGTCAGAATTATTAACACATGACATTCTGGTAAATGATAAGAAAAAAAATAGAAATTGACAACAATGTCTGTCCTTGTTCGATGACATCTTCCTGAATATAACATAAAAAAACCATAGTATGATTTTACATGTACCTACTACAAATACTTTTAAAAGGTAATACTTCTAATTACAATAAATTGACGATTAATTCAGAATAATAAGCAATATTTTCTCCTCAAGTTTTAGTTATTTTCATTTCCATTTGAAATTGTTGTTATTGAGTTACCCAATGTAAACAGTAATTCGAAAAAAAAAAGTTTTCTTTCATGCTCTTATATTTCATAAAATATGCGCTCTTTTGACCCTGCGCTCTTTTGTCCGTGCGCTCTTTTGTCTGTGCGCTCTTTCGTCCGTGCGCTCATTTGACCCTGCGCTCTTTTGACCCAGCGCTCTTTTGACCCAGCGCTCCTTTGTCCGTGCGCTCTCTTGACCTGCGCCCTTTTGTCTGCGCTATTTTGACCTGGTTTTGACCCGTGCTCTTTCGTACCAGCGCCATATGTAGGTAATATATTAAGAATAAATAATTTTCTCTCAATTGGTCATTCAAATAATTCTTTACTATTTTCGTATGTATGTATTTGGATAAAATTGGATTAGACAAGACATTTTTATATCGACATCACGACTGCATTTTCTGCTTGGAATGGAAAAAGCGGGAATATAAATAAACTGAACGCAGTTTTACTGATAAGAATATTTCCTGAATATTTTTTGACCAAATTTATTCAGAATTAATTTAATTTGAAATAAATTCAAATTTAAATATTTCAATTCATTATTTATTTAGAAAAAAAAAAACTACAAATAAAATGGACATGAATGAGCCTCAATAGAAAAGCGAAGAATGAGATTAACTTATCCTCTCAACATACAAATCTATCTATCATTAGAAGCTATTATAGACATGGATGAAACAAAAAAAGATACCGGATATGGAAACTTTAGGAAATAAACATGGGAAAAGATATAGCAGACAAATAATAAAGATAGAACGCTATACCTCTTTAGAAACAAAAGACCTATTGAATGAAAGGAGAACACTACTAGAATAAGGGTAAAAAGGGCTAATAGTTTCCGTAGATAATCAAGGCCTGCTGCTCTTTTAGTTTGTTTTGTGAAAGGCCATTTGAAAGCTCCCCTAAGTACGGCTGGATCCTTGTTAGTTAACAAAAACATGAGATGTGTGTCAATTATATGAGGACACCGTCGAAGCTTATTGTTGGATAACTTATTGGATAACAAGGACTTAACAAACGACTGATTTATGGCCGTTTGCACCGACCATTTTAAGGAAGCCTTAGCGATAAGAATTCCTTAACATGACATTTTTACATGGAGAAATGTCACTTTACAGGGAATACTTATCGCTGAGGCTTCCTTAAAATGGTCGGTAAAAACGGCCACTTAACTTATAAAAACATTGAAAAAAATGGTGGCAAATGAAATTAAAATAATAGCGACATTGGAATTAGCGCTGTGATCTTTCAGAGCCAAGAAATTTCGAAAATTACTGCTCATGTTTTGAGACATTTTTAGATGTCAAAAGTTTTTACTTACGCGCAGCACTAACACAAGCCAAAATTACTATTCCAAGTGCTAAAACACTTCCCAATGGCGGCATTGTATGTGTTGTTTCAATCACTCCTCCAATAACTCTTATATTTTGTTATAATTTGCTACTAATCACGCCTCTTAAATTTTATCGGATAACTACAGTTGCGAATGTCTATGATCTGACTTTTATATCGTCAATGTCAAATTATTTGATAACTGGTAGTTGATTAATAGGTTTGTTCGGATTTAGTTCAGACAGTTCTGAATAAAAATAGATGCTTTTCAGATATTATTGGCGCAACATTATCCATAGAAATTTGACAGGTTGACCCTCGTATAATAATGGCATTTGATGACAAAGTATTTTTTAAACTTCAGGGTTATAAAACAGAAAGCCGAGTTGCCAGAATGTGTAGAATATCTGAGTAGATTCAATTCCAAAATACAAAAATATTGGTTGCTGGTTGTAGAAATAGCTTTACATCTATATTTAATCTATACCTACCAGAAATATATCTGGTCAGTGGCGTCGCGTGACCATCAGTTTGGGGGGGGGGGGGTAAATGGTATGGGGTTGAGGGGGCGCCCTCCGAAAACGCGCTGCAGACGAAATTTTTTGCAAATTTCAAGGTCATTCACTTTTCCAGAACAATTATTTCCTATGTGAGAAGAATAAAACAAAACAAAAATTTATTTTCTCCAATATATTTTGTATTTTCTTCTGGGCATCCTGATTTTTCTCTTGATAATTCTATCCTGGGGGGGGGGTAATTACCCCAGTACCCCTCCCGACGTGACGCCCCTGTATCTGGTAGTTGGGCTTCAATTATTATTCCCTGAAGAACCTCTGGTTTGCTTTTCTCGAAATAGCCGTAACATTTTATTATTTCCTATTTCCCTTATTTTCTCTTGAGAAATTATTTTGAGCGTCTTAAATATGAAATAAATTTGACAATGCTGAATTTTGAAAAATGTCAATGGATTTTGCAGGTATGCAGAATAGTAAGGTACCGTTTATATATTGCACTATTAAAAAATATATTAACAAATGTGTCAAATTTGATTGGCCAGATAGGCCAGAGAATTCTAATACTGCGACACTTACGAAATTATGTGAAACACACTTAAAACTGCCTGGAATTCGACATATACTGTCATTATTATACGAGGGTCAACCTGCCAAATTTCCATGGATAATGTTACGCCAATAATATTTGAATGGCAAATAGACGTGTCTCGTATATAAATAAAGACAGTGTATATTATGGTTAAAAGTAATGAGATGAACTGGGAGAGAACATACAATATGCGCTCGCCGCTGGGAGCTTTAGTGACATTTTTTAAGTTGCCAAAGGTCCCAAAAAACCTTGGGATCATTTTCCAGAATCCGGATCAGTCTGTACAAGTCTGGATAAGGTCTGGATAAAGTCTGTAAAACTCTGGATAAATCTGGATATTGCCTGGAAAAGTCTGGAAACGTCTGGAAAAGACTTGGAAATTTCTGGAAAGTGTTGGAAAAATTCTGAAAAAGGCCCCAAAAGACCTGGGGATCATTTTCCAGAATCCGGATCAGTCTGAACAAGTCTAAATAAAGTCTGGATTAATCTGGATGAAGCCTGGAAAACTCTGGAAAGCTCTGGATAAGTCTGGATAATGTCTGGAAATCTCTGGAAAAGGCTTGGAAATTTCTTGAAAGGGTCGGAAAAATTCTGGAAAAGGTCCCAAAAGACCTGGGGATCATTTTCCAGAATCCGGATCAGTCTGTATGTACAAGTTTGGATAAATCTGGATGAAATCTGGAAAACCCTAGAAAGCTCTGAATAAGTCTGGATAATGTCTGGAAAAGTCTGGAAATCTCTGGGGCTGACACGCTTTTATAATATGTAGGTACATCGAACTAAAAAGTGAAAAATAAATATACCGTTTTAAAAAAACTAAAAAACACGCTTTTATAGTAAATTGAACTAAAAGTAAAAAATAATTTTTAATATAAACAGAAAATATAAATGAAAAAAAATTTTAGAATTATTGTGAAAAAAACCATAGATTTTTTTGAAGCCAAATTCTATGTCCCTATATTTCGCGCTTGCGCATTATTGATCGGAAACAACGAATTCTGGGCCGTGGACAGAGTCGGATTAGGATTTTAAGTGGATTAACATTGAGAATGATTTAGAATTCCGAGTAGTTCGATTATGTGAATCGGTAAGATTATGTGAATGTATAGAGTAAAGCTAATATGAAAAATGTAAATATAAATACTTACAGTCGTTCATCGTTCGGGAAACTAAAATATCCTAAGCCTGGGCTAGTTCTAAAAAAAAAAAATAGTGTTGTTTTTACAGACAAAACAGGAAGCAACCATGATAATACACAATATATAAACGATAAAACAGTCAAGTACACAAAAATCGCGAATAACACGGAAAGCAAAACACTCTTAACAATGCCGAATTTCAAATTAATGAATTTTCCGGTTACTTTTTAATTTCCTGAATAATTTCAGTCAAAAAACTTCTCTTCTTTTTTTGTAATACAATCCTGTTGCGTGTTTCGTTTGACAGTTATTTCTCGCGGGTTCTCACCCAAGCTATTTCTATCTCTTTTTTGCGTGCAGGATTGGAAAGAGACATGTATATGCCGAACTGCTTTTTCAATTTGAGAGATTTGTTCACTCATTGAGCGCATGCGCAAGATATGGGTCAAAATGCTCCTATTGGTTGGAGAATTTGGCCTCAAAAAATATGGAGAGTTGTACAACTGTATCGGTACGGTATAAACTGTGCCACAACCCTGTTTATATTCGGACCACAGCTTAAATAACCTAAATTGTTGGTGTAACAAACACCAGCTTTTCCATTGGTCGAAACGCCCTACCTGGACCAGTTCGCATGCACGAAGGACATTTGATATAGGTTGTAATGAAAATGACCAGTTTGTCATTTACTGCCGCTTGGATTTGGTTCAACCATTTTTTAATGTACAGATTAGACCGATTTCCTATTACCTGGACTGCGCGCGTCGCTTGTAGGCTGCAGGTGAGCGTCCAATGAGAAGCAAGTTTGTGACAGGCTTGCGTCATATTCTTATTCAGGGGCCAGTTCAGAATAAATCGTTCCTTCTTTCTTTGTAATGTGTAATTTGACAAAGAGCAAAGGTTATGTTAGATTATACTTGACATATTCCTTTGCAATTTCATTAGGCGATGTTGCCGGATGAAACATTTATCAAAATAAAAGTGCAAATGATGTTCATCCACTTAAAAGCTCTTCTTTTGTCTGATTTAGGACCAGGGGCTTAGTCACCGGTGTTCCGCGTGTTCCACCGAACACGGGCCCGGTAGCTCAAGGGGCCCGGTTCGACATGTCAATAATATTTTTTCTCCTACTAAGTATAAAAAAATCATGTGCAGCGCCGTACACGTAGTAAAAGTGGAACTTCTTAAAAACTTCCCCCCGGCCCCCCTCATACAACTTTAAAACAGACGAAGTACCTACCACACAAAAGGGAGACGCGCATCTATAGTGACGTCACAGGGGTATTGGCGCTTCACAATAATAGGCAATCCTCTTTGCGCTTATAATCCTTGGTTTGTGAAATCAATGTTATAATGGCTGCCTTTCTCCGTCTTTTTACGTCTTATATTTTTCCCCTCTCTCGTGTAACGAAATTTGCCAAAACGTGACGCGTCTTTCAAATCATTCTCCATTGTTGTCCAAATATCAGACCGCTGCCTAAGAAGTTTCACTTCAAAAATACATTTGAAACTAATTTATATGAAAATAAAAATCATGTGTAGCATCGTTAAGGATTGAAACTTCTTAAAAACTATTTCCTCCCTCATACAACCTTTAGACTTCCGAGTATGAGTCAAGGTAAAGCACTAAAGCTTTCAGCGCTTAACAATGATAGGCAATCCTCTTTGCTCATAATCCTTGGTTTTTGTCAATCGTTCGTCGTCTGTCATTGTCATTGGCGGTCATTGACTATCTTTCTCTGTGTCTCTTCTACGTTATATCTTTCTTCTCTCTTGTCTATCGTGTACGTGTAACGAAATTTGCCAAAACGTGACGCTAACGTAACTTACGTGACGCGTTTTTCAAATCAGTCTTCATTCTCGTCCAAATATCAGACCGCCGCCAAAGGGCCGGTTTCTCAATAGCAAGTAATCCCTGGCTTACCTAAGCATATTTCCAGGGTAAACATTGCAACTGGACACGTTTACCCTGGAAACCAACCCTAAGAAGTTTCACTTTAAAAAACATATATGTACAGTGGGATTTTTTAAGTGTACAATATATGGGAATTTTTTTTAGTAGTAGCACAACCCAAATACAAACAAGGCCAAAAGTTGGTGCATGTCTGACAATCATATTAGGTGCACTGAATGGATGCAAGTCAAACAGCATACAGGGTAGCTGAAACAATATCAAAGCTCTCTGTACTGTAAAGTACCCTTATTTTAGAAAATTCAGAAAAATGTTATAGAGAAAAGTTGTTTGGAATTAAAAGTTATGCCTAAATACCGAAACATAGCCTCCTAAGATTTTTTTTATTTTTTTTCGAAAAAAATCTATAATTTCTATATTTTTTAAAATTTTTATTTCCGCCCTTAATACTTTCAAAAATTAATTAAAATCAAATCAATTTTACATAACTTTATTCAAACTCAAGCATATTTGTAAAATTAACTTAGATTTTTAATTTTTTATGGAATCACAAAATTCATGTTTGTTGCAATGATATTTAACACAACTTTAAAATGTCGCATTTTTTTTTTTTATTAAGTTAAAACATTACTGATGAATCTGATGATAATAGCCATATTGAAAAAACTCTCCTTAAAGTGCAAAAGTTTTATTTTATTTAAGTAAATATTACTACAATTTTGATATTTTTTGAGCTACCCTGTATGCTGTTTGACTTGCAACCATTCTAAGTGCACCTAATATGATTATCAGAAATGCACCAACTTTTGGCCTTGTTTGTATTTTGATTGTGCTATTACTTAAAAAAAATCCCATATGTTGCACACTTAAGTAATGACACTGTATATCTGCGTAGGTGAAGTCGTCGATTCTTGTATTCGTATGTAGACTTATTTGACTATGATTTATTTTATTCTTTCACACTTTTCGATTTTATGGCTTGTCGCGTGTCGCATATCTCCAAAATTCATTAG